CCACACACACACACACACACACACTCCATCTGGTCGCTACGTCCCTACATTTAAGTGCTTGTGGGCAAGCTGGTTTATACTTGTCAGTTAAAATCTAAAATTAAGATAATTTAAGCTGGTCACATATATTAACACCTTCCATCTGCCAAATCTATATTAACTTGTCTGGAGGTTAAAAGCTTGTTTCTGCATTTGTCTTAACTAATACTTTGAAACTGTTTGTTTCAGATGAGACTACACACAATTCTTGGCTTTGTTTTGCTCCTGTTGTCTACCTTACAACAAAGTGAAGGCAAAGCAGGTAATAGGGTACTAGAAAACTTCAGAGAATACATGTCAGGAGAAGCCACGCCAGCACCAAGACCTGATGAGGTTCAAGTCAGTCCACCAAAGGTCTGGAGGCGCAAGAGAGATACAAAGATACAAAGTGAGTTTTTTATCCAGAGTTATCCAATTTAGTTTAGGTTTCCTCCTGTAGTAACACTGGATCAATAAGGGACGATCTTTACTGGACCTCTAGGAAGAACAGTTTAGAACTGATAGAGCTATCCAGTATAAATAAAGCTAGTTTAGTATAGGTTTCCTCCTGTAGTAACACTGGATCATTAAGAGATGATCCTTACTGGACCTCTGGCTCTGGGAAGAACAGTTTAGAACAGATAGAGCTATCCAGTATAAATAAAGTTAGTTTAGTTTAGGTTTCCTCCTGTAGTAACACTGGATCAATATTCAATAAGAGATGATCGATCCTTACTGGACCGCCAGGAAGAACAGTTTAGAAATGGTAGAGCCACCCAAGAATAAATAAAGTTAGTTCAGTTTTTTCTTCAATCTAAATGTTATTCAATTCTTTCTTAGATTACAACTCTGTAGAAGACTTGGTCTTAGATGCTGAAACAGCTAAAGACTTTGCCGGAAGAATAGATGGCGCTGTCCGCTAGAAACAATTAATTATATCATTCATGTGACAATATATGTATAGGTAATCTTTCCTTCTAATAGATGTATAATATACTATTTATCAAGTATACCCATTAAAGTCTAGTATACATATAACATATATTATATATTGTTTAATGTTATCCTGCTAGAATCCTGTTTCAACCTCGATCTCAATGAGAGTGTAATAAGTTTAAATGCAAATATATTTCATGAATAAACTTTACAGTCAATCAAAGTTCAAAGACAACGTCACATTATATTCAACACAAGAGGTCGTAGGCTCATATATAGCATGTAAACAAACATAAAAATGAGATCAAGCATTAAACAAACTACCCTAGCGCACATTTAAAAAACCTCTAGACATAGGTTACAATATAATAAAAAATACTCACAATTTAATGTGATCAACCCATATGATCGGCCAAAACCATATTTATACGGCCAGCACATAATGACACAAGTTGGGCAAGTTCGCTTTAATACACTAAATACAAGCGTCGATGTTCTTTCAGACAGCACAAATAGCCGTCTTTCTAACCGCATTATACTCTAATAATTTTTCAGTTCCACAGTTGCTATAAAAAGCTTAGACATTTGGTAATTTCTGCAAAATTTACTATAAAACTAGCTCCTCAAATCACGGTTAACCGTGCTCAAATCCGCCATATTGTTTGAATACTAATTATTTCACCAACTCAGCATTTCTGCAATTTGATTGGCCAGCAGATCTCATTATATTAACCAATCAGAGTTTTTTATGTTTAGCCCAGGTTTAGCGAATCACGTTGCTCAATTGCCTGCAATTTGATTGGCTAACCCAGCGCGTCTATTTTGCCAAAACAATAGTGTTCCAATCAGAATGGCCAATCAGAAATGAACGCAAAATATGCTAATTAGTACGGGCATGTCTCATACAAACTACTTTTATATATCAAGAATCGAATCAGAATTCAACTGCAAATTAATCTTTTAATCAATTCAAAAAGTTTTTAGCTACTTTTTAAAAGATTTTCACACAAGCTACAATTCCACTAACAAAATTCACTACGTAGCATTACACCACGCGACAAGTCGCATTCAAGGCAATCTTCACGAGAAATGATCTTCCTAGACAATATCCACATGGCCAATATATACGATATAATATTGGTAATAACGCCTAACAGTTCCAATAACTTACTAACCTAAACCCTAAACCATACTCTGTCAAGATATGATGGTTTGGAAGCCTGGAAAACTTCAAAGCCACAAAAATGGAAGACATTTGTTTGATGTTGAACTGTTCCTCACCATGCAAAAATTCTTTGTCTCAACTAGATGAGACAAAGAACTACCTTCAAAGATATCAGAGTCTGCTTAAAAGTCTGCTGTTAAAGTCTGCTTCAAAGATATCAAAGTCTGCTTTGAAGTTAGAAGAACTTCGAAGCTACAAAATAGAAGACCTTAGTTTGATGTTGAACTGTACTCACCATGCACAAATCCTTCGTCTCAACTTCATTAAATATTATTCATCGTGGTTGCACGTTTCATGACAGCTATCCCTACTTCATTATACAAAAATACAATGAGCTCAATGACCATGACCTTGCACAAATTAGCATAAACTCCGACAAAAACATGACACAATAACTTATGTTCACCATCACATCTTGACAGACAATGCCTAATCCTTACACTGTGCTATCCAATCCCAATAAAATTATTTGATACAAATATTTTACTGTTCCTGGTTACAATGTGTAGAAGGGTTCATTTCACTACCACGTACAACCACTTAAACTTAAGTTCTATTAGAAAACAGTTTCATAACTAATACTGTACTACAACAGATTATAGTTACTATATAAATTGCATCATAACGCACATAATTGCAAAATGTTCCTAGCTATCAAACCCCATTCCGGGATCATATTTAAAACCTTGAGCCAGCGATCCCTTTCTTATCCAAAACAAACAAACTTTTCCAGACAGGATCACTTCAAACCGTCTTGAACAGCTTTTGTGATTGGCTCAATATATTTAGCAATGAAACACAATAAAACTTATGAAGAAACAAGCCAATCACAAAATATGATCAGATGGTATTTACCCAGTACCCATAATTGGTATAATTCCAAAAATGGTCTATTTTTCAACCCATTTGAAACAAACACAACCTCAATGTTATTATAAATACTCAAGCTCCGAAAATAGACATAATAAACTAACGCGCTGTCTATGACAGTTGGGACTCAATTCGCTCACATATACCATTTAAAACCTTTGTTCCATTCTATGCTTACATTATCAAAACAGTGGTAACTAGACATGTGAAATTTGGTTACCTTTGTTCCATTCTATGCTTACATTATCAAAACAGTGGTAACTAGGCTCACACGAGTTATCTAAAACTCTGAATTGGACACAAGCAATCGCGCATAGACATACGTTAGTTGATTAAATCTATTGTTCAATAAAATTCCAAACGAAACTACCTCTATCCAGTTAATTTAAGAGTCGGTGATAGGACATTAGAACACTACTGTTTGGTTTTCAACCTTATTAATATATTAAATACTAAACATTCCACGTTGGTTAATAAACTTCGACCACCGTATAAGCTTCCTCAATGTTGATGTCATACACCGCACGGCTGACCGTTTCAAACGGGAATAATTCAAATCTTGACACTGCAGCCAATCAGAAGGCTTAACTGTATGCATCATAAATGACCATCAGTTAAAAACGACCACTTCGAGTGTTGAAATCATTGAAGGGATTACAGACCCGGTAGTTCTCAGCTCTGTTAGCCACAGCCTTTCTTCTCACTTCTTCCATTCCTCTTTTTACACCTACATACATACATACATATTTAAACACCTTAGCTCTAACATCTTTCGATGATTTCCATAGGGGACGTGTAAGATTAACACTAATACATATACAGCATACAAACTATTTACATAATTATTCTTTAGACAATTAACAAACATAAATAAATAACAAACATACAAACTATTTACATAATTATTGTTTTGGAAAAGTAGCTTCAATAATCTTTTGAAACAACTCATAGAATTGGATTGTGAAAACTACAACGATGTTACTTCGCAGGGCAGCGGATTCGATGCCAGCAGAGTGGGGCTGTGGTTCCTTTTTTCGCAGCAACTCCTGCGGGTTGGATTGACCCTGACATCTACGGACCCTATTTTTTATTGCTGACAGCAGACAAACAATTAAACAGGAATTTGGAACTGACATCTTAAACCAGAATAAAACAAGGATGAGAGCGCGTGAGAGTTGGCGAGATCTTGGTTAGCTGTTCTTAATACTTTCCCAACACTATCATGTATTCTATTTAAGTTAAACTGAACATAGTTGGAACACTCATCGAACCTTTTTTTGTTAATCTAGAGCTTGAAATGTCCCCTGTAACAATGTGTGACTGTCAACTCTTATCGACTCTCATTTTGTTTGACTGGGCTTTATTCTGCATTTTCTTTCCAAAAAATAAAACTTTAGATTATTCTATGCTCACTTTCGATGGCATTTTCGATTTTCTTTCTCACCCCCAGTGGTTCAAAGCCACCTTCCTTCAAATCCTCTTTCGTTAGCGATAGGAATACCTCCAGGTTGTTGATCTAAAGAATAAAAGATCTAGGATAATGGCATTTCCTAGAAATTGCCATATACATATACATATATACAGCATATATAATCTGTTATACGTGCTATGGGGTAGCCTTTGTTACCATGGATAATAAAATACAGTTATCCTATCCAGTTATTTTACAATCCATGCTATTACCTATGATGTTTCTCTTGAAAATATTATGAATATACTTATAGTGACATTTTTTATATTTATCTACATACTTACAGGGACTTTTATAAGTGTTTCTCGGCCTTAAAACCTGTTGAACAAGACGAAAATAAAGTTAAAACTGTCACAAAATCGAGACTGCTATATGTATAAAACGAAGGTATAAAGGCTATAATGCAGAATATATTAATTAATTTGTTTTATGTTAGATTGCATGCTTACTGCGAAAGCCACTCGAGTATAAAAATATCCTCACCTGCATTGAGGCACTTGGATCTCTCCTGACCCTCCAATCAAGTAATTCTGGCTTTACATTAGTCTGTTTAGAAAATAAATTGTGAAACTCATTAATAATGCATGAAGAAAACACAAAAGAAATCACGTGAAGGAGTTTGTATATCTGGTACAAAATCCTGCTGATTTGCATAAACTTTCAATTTTCTCACCAAATATCATTCATTTATTTTAAATTGTTGAAGAATACGAATGTTCTCATCAAGACGTTTCACAAGCCTTCGGCTCGAGCTTGTGTATCCGATACAACAAGGAAGCTTATATTGTAAATAGTACACAAAACTCGATGATATCATACCTCTACTGAAGGTGATTGGGTGTCTCTCGCTTCTTTCGCTGCCCCCAAAAAAAAATTTTGGAGAAACCATGGAAATTCGGGCAAACGCTAGGAAAAATCAAGAACATTCGGGCAGATTTATCAGAAAATATGTTAAAATCAGGTTATTTCATTACAATTCTCCATAAAAATTCGGGCAAACTTTCAACTGCCCCCCCCCCCCCCCCCCCCAGAAAACATCAGCCCCGTTCTCCTATGCTATTAGTTGTATCAAAAGCCCCAAACAGACAAGTAAGTTTCCCTTATTAAGTTTCCTTGACAAGTTTAGTTTCTCGTGTGTACAGTTAGCCTGCGAATACAGCTACATTTCGCCCGATGTGAGGCGTCTGTATTCGCAGGCTAGTGTACAGTCAACAAGTTTTCCTTGACAAGTTTCCTTGACAAGTTTACTTTCTCGTGTGTACAGTCAACAAATTGTCCTTGACAAGTTTTGTTTCTCGTGTGCACGGAATCATGTTAAACATTTATCTCACATCAAGATCGTCTTTTTGTTTGCCAAAACCATAAAAGTATTTCTTGAACACTTGTCAAGTTTTCCTTGGCGGCCGAACACACGAACAAATTTTCCTTGTCCAAAACCAGGCATGACTAGCTTTTACAAAACGACTAGGACTAAGTCGACTAACCTCTTTTTTCTTCAAAGCTTCAAAGTCAGCAGACTTTGAAAGATGCAGGCCACTCCACAGATCTGTTGGGACTCGTACTTGACTTTGATCGACTTTTTTTGTCATCACTAGAAAACGAAATGATGAACAATGTAATGCGTTATTTTTTTCCACTATTTTGTCGCATAGACATGATTTTATTCGTTGCATACATTCATTTGTTCAACATCAGTTCAGTTTTTAAATTGAACACTTACATTCTGTTGAAATTCCTTTCTTTCTTTCGTAGTCTGCAAACTAAAACAAAAAATTCAATTAAACAAGAACTCGTCCAGTCACTAACTTCCGATAAAGGGCCTTCGCTCGAAACGTCGAAATCCAGCTTGTCTCTTTCAGGGAGCTGTATCTCTCGCAATCAGCAGACAGCAGCTGACAAGAACATATCATAATGGGGACTTTTCTCATATGCTTTGATTAACTTATAAGTTGTAGTTGTAGGCAAATCGTTTCAAACAAAGAATTTAATGGATGCAAACCTATTGCAAACGCATTTTGTCGACAAGTTGTTGGAACAGCATTGTCACAACTTGTTAACAAGCTAGAAATTTTGATCTAGACAAGAAAAACGAATCCATTACCATAGCTAAAAAGAGCATCTTAAAATGAGTAAAACTGCAAAGTTTGGTTGCGAAATATTGTAAAATGAGGAAAATATAGCCCTGCGAAGTTCGCAAATTTGTATTATGTATTTATGCGAAGTAAAATTTCGGCTCAAAAATGGTCATTTTTCCCACGCGTAATGCAAATACATATATTTTCCTCATTTTACAACACTTCGCAACCAAACTTTGCAATTTTACTCATTTTAAGATGCTCTTTCCAGCTATCGGAATGGATTACGTTCGTCTTGTCTAGATCAAAATTTCGCCTATAGCTCGAATCATCCATTTTTGTACCTTGTTTGTTGGTGACGAGTTCATGCAACGATCCATATTGAAAGAACTACAAAAAATAAAGTAAGAAAATCAGAGTGAGTTTAAAATGGAGCCTCTTCTCATAAGCGACGTGAAATTATAAACAGAAAACCATTGATGATCTCGTTCACTTACACGGAGGCCAGAGAATCAAATGAACTCGCTGGGTTTGAGCCATGGGAATCGAGCAGTTTGTGAGATCTAAAATATAAAATAAAATATTTATATCTTCCGTCAAACGGCATTGATTTGACCATTTGTACACACGTAAAAACGCACAAGTTGTTACAGGTCTGCAAACAAGTTGTTACAAATCTGTTCACAACCTGTCAACAGGTTGTGTTCGTACTGCTTGTTCCCAGTTGTTGTAACAAGTTTGGAACAAGCTGTTAACAAGTTGTAACAAACTTGATGGCATTATCAGACTTGTTACAAAGTTGTTCTAACAAGTCCGATACACTCATGATATAACAAGAATGATACAAGGTTGACGACACAAGGTTGTAACAATATTGTTATATCATGACTGTATCGGACTTGTTGGAACAACTTTGCAACACGTATGTTAATATCAACAAGGTTGTTACAAGTTGCTCACAGCTTGCTCCAAACTTGTTGACAACTTGGGACAAGCAGTGCGAACACCACTTGTTGACGACTTGTTGGCAGACTTGCTACAAGATGTAAGAATTTTTACGTGTGTAAAAAAGGCAACCAGCTGTTCACGTGCTGGCCACATGCTGTCCACGTGCTGCCCAAATCCTTACCCAGCATTCTTTGTTCCTTCAAGAAATGTATACCGTTGTTGTGTGTTTAGTATCTCGCTGGTTCGAGGAGAACTTGAACGAGGAGGGCTGGTTCGAGGAGGACTGGTACGAGGGGTGTTCCGAGCAGAGGAGCCTGGCGCCTTACTCTGGCTACCATTAGAAGAGGATTTCCATGCTTCAGCATAAGATGTGGGCTCAGAATTCCTGCGAGGAACCATGAAATCATATGATTCATTTGGTGAGCCTAAAAAAGAAAATACAAACCATGTAGGTTTGTGTGTGGTTTTTAGGTTTGTGTGTAAACTTACAGTAAAGCTACACCCAAGCTAAACTAAACTAACTTTCGATACCTCTATCACTTCTACACGTCTCTCCAGTCGAAGTGGTCCCTTATTGATCCAGTTGTTACAACAGGAAGAAAATTAAACTAAACTAACTTTATTTTACTGGATCAGGATAACTCTTCTACCTAGAGGTCCAGTAAGGATTATCTCTTGTTGATCCAGTGTTACTACAGGAGGAAACCCAAACTAAACTAACTTTATTTATACTGGATAGCTCTATCAGTTCTAAACAGTTCTTTCTAGAGGTCCTGTAAGGATCATCTCTTATTGATCCAGTGTTACTACAGGAGGAAACCTAAACTAAACTAACTTTATTTATACTGGATAGCTCTATCAGTTCTAAACTGTTCTCCCTAGAGATCCAGTAAAGATCATCTCTTATTGATCCAGTGTTACTACAGAAGGAAACCTAAACTAAACTAACTTTATTTATACTGGACAGCTCTATCAGTTGTAAACTGTTCCCCCAAGATATATGTCCAGTAAGAGTTATCTCTTATTGATTTAATGTTACTACAGGAGGAAACCCGAGCACTCAGAGAAAGTCTGGGATGTTTTGTGAGTCAAACTAGAAGTAAACTATAACCAGCTAGTTACCAACCTCCTTCTGAAACTGCATCGCGAACAACTTTTGAGAGATTGTTATCAGCCGAGTTCGTTCGTCTGTGATATTCGCCATTATTGAAGCTTTCAGAGCGATGGTGTCGCCCCCAGAGGTCAAATCCGGGAGGACATTTGAGATTAGTGGGTGGGGGTGTTCGCCGTGTATGGAACACGGGTGAATCTGACCGTATTGAACTTATTGAATGTGGAGTGGGGGAAGCGAGGGGAGAGGTGTATGGCGAGGAGTAGGGAGAGAAGTCGATACTTGTTTGGTTAGCAGCAAACCACGAGGTACTGTGAAGGAAAGGTGGTGCGAGGGGAGGTGGGTGTTGCATAATTTGTGGGTCCATTGGGTTCCCCAGGATTTCTAAGCGGGTGAGGTACATATTTTGAGCGTTGTTTTCCTTGCTCTTGATTGTGACGGACTGAAGAAAATAGGAAAAAATATTTTGACACTTCATGCAAAGTTTAGTAAAATTAAATGTGAAACTCGTTAATAATTCATGAGGAAAACACAAAAGAAATCCATGAGCGTGAAGGAGTTTGTATATCTGATACAAAGGGCGCTTTCCATTTAAATGCCTGACTGGCCAGACGTCTCGAATTTTTGTCTCCGTATCAATGGAAAGATCTGGTCTATGTTTCTCAAATATTTAGCGAAAATGGACCTCATTCTATCCAAATTTTCCGGTCAGGTAGGTTCCAAAGCCCTACCTAAAGTAAAAAGTAAAGTAAAGTAAAAAAACGTTTTGTGTCCCATTCGACAATTTGACCGTTCTGACCGATCTGGCTGTGTTAATGGAAAGCGCCCATAATCATACTGACTTTAAGTTCAATTTTCTCACCAAATATCATTCATTTATTTCGAATTGTTAAAGAATACGAATGTTCTCATCAAGACGTTTCACAAGCATTTACAACATTCGCGTCGTGTTGTATCGGATATGCAAACTCTCGTCTTCAGCTCGAGTTTGTAAATTGATACAATACGACCGCTCATATGGTATATATATATATATATATATATATATATATATATATATATATATATATATATATATATATATATATATATTACACGAAATACTAACTACTTTTATAAAAAGAAAGGATGAAAATCTCCACTATATTTTACCTTGCTTGATTGTTTCGGTTTTGGTTTGATCGTTATCGATACAAAAAACTTTGTCTCGATTTGTTTTACTTTCTCTGAAATAAAATGGACGAATAAAATTATCTGTTGTTAGACAAAATGTCATACATATAATTTTGACTTAACCTAGCCCTAGCGCTAGGACTAAATTTTGATCTAGGCAGGAAAAACAAAATCTATCACCAAAGCTAGAAAGAGCATGTTAAAATTAGTAAAATTGCAAAGTTTGGCCACAAAATGTTGTAAAATGCGAAAAATATAACCCCGCGAAATTTGCAAATTTTGTATTAATTTGCATTACGCGCGGGAAAATGCACGACATTTGGGTCGAAAGTGGTGCATTTCCCATACAAATACAAAATTTGCAAATTTCATAGGGCTATATTTTCCTCATTTTACAACATTTCGCAACCAAACTTTGCAATTTTACTAATTTTAACATGCTCTTTCTAGCTATGGGGATGGATTTTGTTTTTCTTGCCTCGATCAAAATTCAGTCTTTTGCTGCAATCATCCATTGTAATGAAGAATTCTAACCTGGTTGATCTTGAAGATGTCTTGCCTCTTCTTCCTTCAAATCAAACATTAGCAACAACGGCAAACAATTCTGAAAAATCAAATTCATTTCAATCAAGCAATGTTTAGCAAAAACGAAGGCCTAATTAAATGAAGGTAAACTCATTAAGGTTACAGAACACCTTTGAGTGTTAATTTTGGCTAAAATTTTTTTATTGGTTTGCATGAAAGCATTAGACTAGTTCTAATATCTGACCAAGTTTGGACGAAAAATGTTGAAAACTCGCAGAGTTATTTAATAAAGTACATTTCGCTGCAATAAGAAAAACATTGAAAATGTAATATTCAAATTCAATTTTCTCCCGAAAAAGTTTACGGCAATTACTGATTTTCAAATGAGTTGTGCTCCTGCGGGTTTTAACCAATTTTTCTCACATTTTCACAGGACATGGATAAAGAAGTCAGTTTCAAAATTGTGTTCGGCTTTTTCTTAATTTTGGATATTTTAAAAATAAAGAGCAATTCACTCAAACAATTCAGAAATATATTGCAGTCGTCAAAGAAATCGCCATATCAGCGGAATGACGAAATAAACAAAAATTTCCAAACACAATTTTTTAGAACAACTATTTTATTTTCCCGAATAATTCTTACATTATTTTATTGTTTGTTAATTTTACAACTTTACTATATTTTGCATGCACAGGAGAACATTTGGTGAAAATTTGATGAAAATCGGACTGATATTGAGCGCGCAGTAGCGATTTTCCGCAAAACGCCAAAAAGGGTGTCCTGTAACCTTAACGTATCAAAAATTGAAAAATTTGAATAAGGTCACAACCAAGTAGAGACGTATATTCATTGTTTTGAGCGCGTGTTACGTAACATACAAAATATTCTCCTCTTAGGCTACGTTTATACTGTACCAGATAGCTGTCCGTAGTGATGTGAAAAAAAACCATCCGTACCTTTAAGGAACGCTATTTTCAGAGGAATTATTGCAACGGAGAGATGTTGTTTCGCTCAGCTTCTGAAAGTTGTATATTCCGTATCGGATAGGTGCGTTTTCGCGTCGCTACGGAAAGCGTAGCTATCCCGTATAGCGGAAACAGTGCCGTAGCAAGCTCGATAATGGAGCATTTGCATTATAGATTAAATTTTGATCTAAACAAGTCTAGACAAACATTTCATCACAACTTGAAAGAGCATCACAAAATTAGTAATATTCCAAAGTTTCGTTCGTTGCGAAATGTTGTAAAATGCGGATAATATAGCCTTGCGAAGTTTGCCGTTTTTCAGTCATTTTCTATTACAAACGGAAAATTGACAGCCCCAAAGGGTATTGGGCTGTCAATTTCCCCCGCGTAATGCAAAATGACTGAAAAACGGCAAACTTCGCAAGGCTATATTATCCGCATTTTACAACATTTCGCAACGAAACTTCGGAATATTATTAATTTTGTGATGCTCTTTCAAGCTGTGATGAAATTTTTGTCTAGACTTGTTTAGATCAAAATATAGTCTATAATGCAAATGCTCCATTGGGGGCTCGTATTCATATATTCGTGTTCACAGACCATATAAACAATCGATTTCAAAAGAAATTAATAACGCAGAACACGAATACATAAATATGAGCCCCCCAATTATCGAGCTTGCTACGGCACTGGGAAATGTAACCTTGATCTATATACTCACCACAAGCAGTGCTCTTGCTTGAATCACAGCATTAACTGATCCCGTCACAGTGATCATGCCGTGACGCGAGTACGCTCGCGGATCTGGTAACTCGATCTTCGCTGCAGTCTGTAGCATTATATTCCTGAGATTACAAGCTGATTCTCCAATCAAAAACATGTGATGCTGGGGGGCCACGTCAAGGTATAACTGAACTACATTAGGAATCTAGATGCAGGGAGAACAGGAGATATATTTTGGACATTTTACACATTTGGGCCGAAAATGGTAGCAATTTCCGCACGCAATACAAAAGCACACAAAATTTGCAAACTTTGCAAGGCTATATTTTCCGCATTTTACAACATTTCGCAACCAAACTTTGCGATTTTACTCATTTTAGCATGCTCTTACAACTAGCTGTCGTGATTTATTTGCATCTCCTTGCCTAGTTTTAAAATTAGTTTATAATGGGAATTATCTTGTTGATCACCATCTGTTGAACGATGGTATTTGGACCACCTCCATAAAGTATGTACATAGACAAATGATCAACTTGATACCTCTGATGATCCAGTAAGCTGCTTGAAAAGACAGTCAATTGCGTCCTGAAAAGGTTTTAAAAAAATGTAATATGTATTTGCATACACACGTAAAAAATTAAAATCTCACATCTTGTAACAAGTCTGCCAACAAGCCGTCAACAAGATGTATTCGCACTGCTTGTCACAAGTTGTCAACATGTTTGGAACAACTTGTTGACAACTTGTAACAACCTTGTTGAAATTATCAGACTTGTTGCAAGGTTGTTCTGACAAGTCTGTTACATGCTTGATATAACAAGATTGTTACAACCTTGTGTTGACAACCTTGTAACATCCTTGTTATATCATGGCTGTAACAAGGTTGTTAGCACAGTCTTGTAACAAGGCTGATAATGCCATCAAGCTTGTTACAAGTTGTTAACAGCTTGTTCCAAACTTGTTACAATAAACTGGGAACAAGCAGTGCGAACACAACTTGTTGACAGCTTGTGAACAGACTTGTAACAACTTGTTTGCAGACTTGTTACAAGCTGTGCGTTTTTACGCGTGTAGGCGGTACAATGTAGGTAGTGGCAATAATAAGAAATCTTGGAATTGATAGAGATGCAACAAACTAGAAACGTCGAAGTACTCCTTGTATTTTTCAGGTAGTTGTATCCCTATCAATGCGAAGCTTTCTTAGAATTCCAGGCGTATTTTGTCAAGAAGAAAGTAAACAAAGTAAAGTACCTTAATACAAGAAACTCTGTCTTGACTCCCTCGAACAGCTACTATCAAACCCACTTGCGTTCTCTGGTAAAAAACAACGCGGTATTAACAGGGTTCGCACAAGTCAGAGAGAGTCAAATTCAAGGACTTTCCAAGGACATTCAAGAGCATGAATCGGGCGGCAAATTCATGGACTAAATACTGTATATAAATAAAACTAAATATAAATAAAATGTGACGTTGAATTGTTCAGAACGCAACTTTAATGAATTTAAAACAGCTTTTTGTCAGATATGAACATGCCAAATCACAATTCAACAAAATGTCTGTTTTTGAATGTCAAACAATTTCAGAAAATATTCATAAACTAAAGCAAGAAGAATTCAAGAATTTTCAAGTACTTCTTTGCAAATTCCAACACATTCAAGGCCCTGAAATTGTGTTTTCAAATTCAAGGACATTCAAGGACTTTCTTGCCTACGGTGTAGATCCCAGCAGAAATACGTGTTTCTGCTGGGATTTACACCGTAGGCTAAGGACTTAATTTCAAGTTTTGTACGAACCCAGGGTATAAACTCCCGTAGAACATAAATGGAACTGGTTGACTAGACCTAAATGCACTTATTGATTCACAGCAAAAATTCGCTTATAATGAGTGAAAATGCCAAATGGAGTTCATTGTATAAATATTAGTTGTAAATGCGGCGAACATACCCCCTTTGTACTGAAAGTGACGTCATATCGTTGTGAAATATTCTGAATAGGTGGTGACGTAGGGTCCAGTGGTAGAAACATCGAGTCATAGTGGGGAATCTCAAAACATATCACCAGAGGTGACATTTCCTGTGGAAATAAAAACTGAATTATCCACAATCTTTGTCAAATTTGACAGTCCCACAGAGCTTGGCTGCTTCATTGTGGCTAAACCACCATAATTCATATACCCTGGTTCCTGCAGAGGCTCGCAAAGAGCCTCTGGAACCAGGGTATAATTCATAAAGTCTCGTAAAGATTGAGTCACGATCTTTCTCATCAGCCAAAATACAACAGCTTAGAACTGAAAATACGCGGAGTGGTTACAAATGAAGGATACTTATGATTTATATGTGGTTTACAGGTAAAAACTATTACGATAAACCGTTACGATCATATGGAAAATACCTGGTTTAAACTAACAAGTTTTTTATCCATTCATCTACGGAAACATTTTTGATGGCATGCAAATCTTTTCTCCACAGCAATGCTGTTAGGGGTGGACAAACGTGAAACCATTCGAGAAAATATCAAGAATTTCAGATCTTTCCTAGCTTGTCCAAGTTGTAATGAAAGCTGTATTGGTTACTAAGTACTGGTAATAAAAAATTCTTACTCTAATCCGAGCTCTGGCCTTCTCGACTCCTTCAGGTTGCCCAGTAATAGAGACCTAAAACATTATATGGATAAAACAAGTGAAAATGGTGATTTGATGATTTTATATTGTCAATTGGAAAGTGTTTGGACGGGAAAGAGCAATGTTACAGTTAAGTGAGTCCGTAGCAATCATACACAGGAAAAAACGCACAAGTTGTAACAAACCTGCAGTGGACTTGTAGCAATGCTGTTCCAACAACTTGTCAACAGGATGTGTTCGCACTGCTTGTTCCCAGCTTGTTGACAAACTGTCAACGGCACTTGCTACAAGGTTGTTGAACTCAACAGACTTGTTACAAGTTGTTCCAACAACTTATTATCGTCCTGCAATTCAACAATTTGTCAACAAGTTGTGATTGACAACCTTGTAGCAACTTGATAAAATAACAGCATTGTTACAACGTGTTGACAAGCTTGCTACAAGCCTGTTGCGAACACATCTTGTTGACAAATTGTGACATTTTTACGTGTGTACATGTACCACGCTGTCTTCAGTGTTTTCGATATCTTACTTGTCAATAGAAACAACAGTTTGGGAGACAACATACCTGATTACTTTTCTCGGCGCTGGCAGATCCTCTGTTTGAGTCAGGAAAGTGAATATGACAGTTCGTCTCGTCCATAACTACAAAAATAGTTCAATCTTTTACCAAATACTGAAAAAACGTACCATAATGTTTTTTCAAAATACTTCCACAGTAACTCAAGGCGAACTGTACTACTCACGTAAAAATCTTACAACTTGTCAACAAGATGTGTTTGCAACAGGCTTGTAGCAAGCTTGTCAACAAGATGTGTTCGCAACAGACTTGTAGCAAGCTTGTAAACAAGATGTGTTCGCAACAGGCTGGTAACAAGCTTGTCAACAAGATGTGTTCGCAACAGGCTTGTAGCAAGCTTGTCAACAAGATGTGTTCGCAACAGGCTTGTAGCAAGCTTGTCAACAAGATGTGTTCGCAACAGGCTTGTAGCAAGCTTGTAAACAAGATGTGTTCGCAACAGACTTGTAGCAAGCTTGTCAACAAGATGTGTTCGCAACAGGCTTGTAGCAAGCTTGTCAACAAGTTGTGCTCGCAACAGGCTTGTAGCAAGCTTGTCAACAAAATGTGTTCGCAACAGGCTGGTAACAAGCTTGTCAACAAGTTGTAACAATGCTGTTATTTTATCAAGTTGCTACAAGGTTGTCACTCACAACTTGTTGACAAATTGTTGAACTGCAGGACGATAACAAGTTGTTGGAACAACTTGTCACAAGTCTGTTGAGCTTATCAACTTTGTAACAAGTTGTCAACAAGCTGGAAACAAGCAGTGCAAACACATCCTGTTGACAAGTTGTTGGAACAGCATTGCTACAAGTCGGCTGCAGGTTTGTCACAACTTGCGTTTTTACGATGTATTTTTGTGACATCGTCAAGAATCTTGACGATACCAAGTTGTTGGAACAAGTTGGAACAAGTCTGTTGAGCTCAACAACGTTGTAACAAGTTGTCAACAAGCTGGGAACAAGCAGTGCGAACACATCCTGTTGACAAGTTGTTGAAAATGCATTGCTAGCTACAAGTCTGCTGCTACAACTTGTGCGTTTTTACGTCTGTACGCTAGTTCTTCTTCTCAAAAGTATAGTCCGAACGTAAATTTTTCTACTCCGCGTACATCTCGTAGATTTTCTTACCTTTATTGATGCTTTGACCACGGCGTCCAATTATATGCGAATGGTCTGTATGGGACACATCCATCTTTAGCGTGACGCGGTTTGCCTGAAGACAACAATTATGGATTACTACTAACAATTATGATAGTAATACCATGATCACCTCGAGTTCTATTGTTCCAAGCGAGCGGGCATTAAAATCTCTAAATTTTCTCTGGGCGGGCAATTTACTAATTCGCCCGCTCGACCAGGCAATTTAGTAAATTGCCCGTATTTGTATGCCGAACATCCAAACAACACCTTCATACACAACACTTTTATGTACTGTTAATTATTACATACTTGTTTGGATTCTTATTTATATGAGTTTTAAATAATAGAAACTAATTACGGTACTGACCTGATTGATCATGTGTACCTCCACAAACTTTACCACACCCTCGGGGCATTTAATCACTAATTCTCCTCATGTCGTGCTATTAGGGACTGGTCATAAAGTAACTGCTAGAGTGGGCTGGAGGTAAATCACAAATTTTGCCAATAAGTTTGGTGACCCATCTTAGGATGTAGATAAAAATTTCAAAGCCCATCTAATCTTACCAAATTTATTTCATGACCCACCCACCCACCCACCAACCCACCCACCCACCCACCCACCCAATCTAAATTGGGAAAATGGCTCGTCCCAAATCGCTGCAGCCCACCCTAGCAGTTACTTTATGACCGTTACAAATGTTACTTATGAAATAACTGGATGAATAAAAGTAAGCATATAGTCTTGTGAATGATTTAATGTGCATTTGTACAGGTAATTCATACTAGTGTTAAATTTAGAAAAATTTGAGCTTTTTCGTGCGTATACGCACGTACGAAAAACGCGTGAGCGGAGAGCAGCCTTTATAATAGTAGGGTAGTGATTTTTTAACGTTTGTAAAAATGCTTGGATATGGACGTCACAATTAATAAATACTAAAGTTTCATCTGACCCATAGAAATAATCGATATGAAGTACGTATTCCATATGTATTATTTCTATGAATTCACCTCAGGAGTTCTCAGAACAAAAGCATGAGTTGCTGAGTATAGAGTCAAACCGGGATCTTAATTTCTATCTAATCCAAACAGAGTCATCCAATACCTTCGATTCAAGTTTAACCGCAACCATATCTTTGGCTTTCTTGATGTTCTCCGGCAAACCAGCTATTTTGATATGTGGGTCTAAATACAGACAGTAGTTCGATGATGTGGTCAAGGTAATTAGCATATATAGCGCATCCTTATTTTAATGCAAGTAGCAGACACTAATGCCTAATGGTGACTATTGCTCTTTCATCGTTTGTCAACTATATCACTGAGAAATTTTGTAAAGCCTTAGTCAAACTAGGATGGGAGGTAGCAGTCACGCATTGTTAGGGGGGGGGGGGGGACATTTCAAGCTCTACTAGATTGACAAAATAAAGCTTTGATGAGTTCTACAACTTGTGCTGAGTGGTTATATTACTACCTTAAAAAACGAAGGCGAAGGCCCTTCATCAAGACACGGTTAACCGTGATCAAAGGTCAAAGGTTAAGTCGAAGGCCCGTCGTTAGCGAAGGCCTGTCGTCAAGAGTTAATCTACTAACTCTTGACGAAGGGCCTTCGCTCGAAACGTCGAGTTTCTGCTTGTTTTTTAAGGTAGTAATATAACCACTGAGCATAGAATTTTCACATTGGTACTACCTACGCTGGTACAGACAGTTTTAGTATATGTTTTAAGTTCAATAGAATACATGATAGTGTTGGGAAAACATTAAGAACAGCTAACCAAGATCACGTGACTGCCAACTCTCGTGCGCTCTCATTCTTTTTTGCTCGGGGCTTAAGATGTCAGTTCCAAATTCCTGTTTCATTGTTTGTCAGTTGTCAGCAATCAAAAATAGGGCCCGCAGATGTCAGGGTCAACCCCATTCATTGCGTAATCACTTACGTAACAGTCAGCGAATTAACCCAAACAAACGTAAAAGGTTTTTGGACGGACGTTTCTGGAAATTTCGAGCGTGAATTTTGTACACTTTTTGACCTACCCAGGAGCAGCTGCGAGAAAAGGAAGCACAGACCCTCTGGCATCGAATCTGCTGCTCTGTGATTCCAATGAATCATGATCTCATTCGACAGGAAACTTGCGGTTACAGGAAACTTGCGGTAACCAACTGGTCTCTGTAGCTCAGTTGGTTAGAGCTCGACAACTGTCTCTCTGTAGCTCAGTTGGTTAGAGCTCAACAACTGTCTCTCTGTAGCTCAGATGGTTAGAGCTCGACAACTGTCTCTCTGTAGCTCAGTTGGTTAAAGCTCGACAACTGTCTCTCTCTAGCTCAGTTGGTTAGAACTTGACAACTGTCTCTCTGTAGCTCAGTTGGTTAGAGCTCGACAACTGTCTCTCTGTAGCTCAGTTGGTTAGAGCTTGACAACTGTCTCTCTGTAGCTCAGTTGGTTAGAGCTTCACAACTGTCTCTCTGTAGCTCAGTTGGTTAGAGCTCGACAACTGTCTCTCTGTAGCTCAGTTGGTTAGAGCTTGACAACTGTCTCTCTGTAGCTCAGTTGGTTAGAGCACTGCACCGGAATCACAGGTTCGATTCCTGCCAGAGGGACTACAGTTGCATTTTTTGCAGCTGCTCCTGGGCAATCACTGAGCCATGTATGTATAATCTGGAGAGAGCTATGGCAATCACTGAGCCATGTATATATAATCTGGAGAGAGCTATGGCAATCACTGAGCCATGTATGTATAATCTGAAGAGAGCTCTCCAGTGGTAAAAACAGACACAGTAACTAGCGAATAAATCCTGGAATTTAAAATGGAATTTAATGGCAGTGGCGACTGGGATCTACCTTCACAAAATATATTCTTCCATTGATTTCTGGAATTCTATTCATAGAAACACCATAACCATTTGTGCAGTGCTAAATAGGATTTGTGCAGTAATATAAAGACAGGTTTACACTTGCAATTTTTGCTGCCATTTCTAGTGCGATTTTGTACTGATGGATGTGAATGATTAGATGAGTTAGATCTATTATCTATGTCGCAAATTGCGTTGCAATTTTGACCCTTTAAGATTGACCCTTTCTACATAGCCTTAATGAAGTGGACAGGACCGGTTTCATCATTTATCCTCCACTCAGAAGATAATCTTGTGAACTTTCTTGTTAAGGCCTGTTTACATTTGCAATTTTTCCTGCGATTTTAGGTGCGATTTTCTTCTTTTGATTAGATGTGAACGATTGAATATCTAAAAATCTTGACCGGTGAGTAGGTAACCCCCCCCCC